CAAGAGAAAAGTAACTGCTAAACGGAAAAGAAGAAGAAATTAAGGGTCAGTCATGAAGACTTTCGAATTCAAATGAGTTATCACGGTTACATACCTTAGTTGATGCACATCTTACTTGTTAACGCTAAATTTCAGTATATTTTGATCGATAACGATGTACCTGGTTAACGACTGTCTAGGACCTTTCTTCCATTTTCAACTAGTACTAGTCATTTTAAACATGAACATAACTACAATCATAAATTCAACTTCTGATAATTCCAACAGTATATTGGTCTTATGATGTGTTTTTGGAAAAAAAGACTGAATTATTACTGATAGTTATAATATACTGATAAGTGTCACCATCAATAAAAAGAAACAATTTTTCAGAGGTTACCAGAGTAAATTACATCAAAGGTTGCTAGATGCTATGTTTTAGCTAGTAAGAAACCTATTAACTGATTTCCTAAGCAAGCTGCGCAGAAGAGTTAAAGGCTCGTAACACAAAACCATTCAAGGATATTTAAGTGATTTCAGTGTGACTAGCAAATACAAATGGTCTACATTATTAGATTTCATCTAGGCATATATATATATATATATATATATATATATATATATTTCACAAACACAAATCTATTAGTGAACAATATAGTATAACTGCACGAGAAGAATGAAGTATAGAGTTGAAACGAGTGGCATGATGATCTATCAGGCAACGCAACTAACGTCAGGGGGCAAGAATTCGATGGCGTAAAAATTGTTAGCAGATCTGAAGTATGATGGTTGAGTGTCCACTTGATAGATGTACAGACGGAGAATGAAACAATGATGGAAATAAGGATAATGATAGTTAACTGATCAACTATAATTATATTGAAAAAGGGGGAAGGTTTAAGACTGTAGTAGGATGAGAAATTAAATGCACTTGTTTTGCATGCAAAGATCAAGGTTTGACTGGTGAATCGAAAGTACTTCTGTCGTTCATAAGTTCCTTTCCAACTGTTCCTTTGATTTCGTACGTGACACTAAAGGAGGATTCCGATGGTGCTATGTGATTAGAGTTGACTAGCTGTTCAAAAAGTGAGTTGCAAATTTATTTTTATTCTCCCTTTGACAAACATGCAGGATATTGCTGAGATATGCGTTATAAAACAAGCACCTATATGGCTAGTCACACAAGTGCAAGTAAACATGTAGAAATCCATTGAAATAACCCAAAGCGGCAACTTATCCCTAAAAGACACTGAAATAATTTGCTGACCAGATAGTCTGATCTGTAGCTTGGTACACAGTTTTGGACAGCCGATTCTTCAGGATATTTGGTGCCATATCACCTTTGAAATCAACTTTTATAAGCAAAGTCTTTGAAAGTGTGAGTACTTGCTCCACATTCTGTCTGCATCTCAAGTTTTCTCTGAATAAATACGAATGGATGTCCATTTTGTACGAGTTTATCCAACCCATGATTGACTGATTTTTGATGACACAGAATGAGTAAGACCTCTCTTTTTATTAAGTAATATACAGCTTTGGGAATTCATTCCATATCATTTCTCAGTAGATCGGTGTTTGGAGTGAACCATCTGGTCTCAGTTTCAATAAAGCATCTACGAAACGAAATTCCTAGTTCTCTTTGAATTCTGATGTGAAGTTAGTCTATTGAAGATGGTTGTAAAATTTATCAACTATAGCCTAAGGTCAGTATTTCCATTACATATACTGAATTTATCATCCATATATCTCATATATAGATGGAAATTATTAGTTATTAAGCGAACCGCATCAATCTCCATATTTCTCATCAATCAATCTACCAGCAACCTGGCAAACAGTGAGGACTTTTGAGTTTTCAATGTTTTACTTAGGTGGTTGGCACCAAGTAAATATTAATGAGCCGTGTGCACTAATTTGTGTACACCGAATTACCAATCCCATCACCCACTTTTATAAATAATCTTTAAGGTAAATATTCCGTAATATTCACGAAGAAAAATGGAAAAGTAGCAGTTGCTTGTAACACTGTTTTGTAAGAATAAAACCCTCATTATAACAAGAACCGATTTCGGAATTGGCGATACGTATTAGGGTAGCTTTTGCATATTAGTAGTATATTTTAAATAACTGATTTTCGAGTAAGATTTACCAATAAATTTATCAAAAGGGCTACAGTATACCACTTTACTGGTAAAATAATGCAAAAACGTTTTTTGTTACTCTCATACTTGGTGATTCCTTTATTAATCAAAAAGCCTTGGAATTCATTTTATGTCAGAAACTGTTAGTTGAAATACTGTTACCTCAATATACGTTAATTTACTACACGAATTGTAACTTGTAAATTGGATTCTTTTGAATACGATTTTAGTGATTAATATATTAGAAATTAACACACTTGATCTGCTTTAGGACATACCAATTTCCATCATTTTTGAAATACTAACTTAACTTCATTGCCAAGATTCAAGCACAAACAATAGCGGTCCCTTCTTTTCAACCTCATGGCTTTAAAGTATGGTAGACGACTAGTTTTCCGAAGTTATTCACTTAATTTTACTCTTTGAAATCGTGTTATTATCAATTTGGTGGATCAAATTATATCAAAGATATTTTTATACCACTTACAACCTTTCTTGGGAAAGTATTAATTTTCTTCATATAAAGTTGAATCTTGCCTGCTTTTTTGTCGATTTCGCCTTCACACTACTAACAGTATACCAAACAGGATTGCTGCATACTTCTATTAAAGTTTTGGTTGATCTGTTAGGATTAACTATTTTGACTGTAATGTTTCACTTTGTTAACTTCATTTCATATAATCATTTGAAAAGTGCAAATAAACCAGACAGATCTGCACATTAGTGTTATTTCCCTCTAACAGAATAATAACTCTATATGAATTATCAAATTATTTCTCAATTTAGTTTACGGTAACACTATGATAGCCTAGAATAAAACGTACACGATTGAAGATTATGCTGTAGTTAATTGTTATTAACTTCTACAAGTTAGAAGAAGAATTAAAATGGTGTCTTTAACCTTAACTAAGTGGTGTTTTATTTCACCTTGGATAGCGTTGGTGCGCATAGGGGTTCAATTTTCTACACTACTATCATTTTCCTCATGAAAAATTTATAATGTACACCCTATTGATATGCAAGTAGTGTAGAATTTATTCTCTTTCCCTACCACCATAAATCATTTGCAGAAGTCAACATCTGTGGCAAATTCATATCCTCAGGATTTCATAGGAAAGTAGATGCAATATATTTTCACTCAAAGTGACTAATACCGAATACCTCGAAACTTTTATCTTAAAACTGTGTAAGTTATTCAACGTTTTGATGATAATCATACCAAGGTCTGTACAAAGTCATGTTGAACGCTTAAAAACATATTAATTTACAAGTAATATTTCAAACTACACCTTTGGCGAAGTTTTCTATTAGTAGTATGCAAGTGATTATTTCAGTTCATTGTCATCCATTTTTACAGGCTAGTCTAGATGAATTCCCTATGGTTCCATTCTAGTTGGTTTATGAAGTCCATCACACACGGAAACAGTATCATAAGTGAAATAACTTTTTCGACATAACTTACTGCCCATAGTCGTATCAAGTCAAATCCAAGACTTTAAGACATGTCTTACGTTAATTTTAGAGTTAAAACAAGACATATCAGCGAACACTTGTTTTCAATTAGATCCTCTTCAGGTTTCGCTCATATATATATATATGTAATTCGTAATATTGTTCTTAATCATTTTGACTATCTCCCGTGGTTTGGCAGACTGGTATTTATACTGGGTGATGACTGAAGGCAAAAGGGAAACCCCAGCCTCAGTCGGACTCGAACCAGCACCCGCTGGGTTCCTGTCTCGATGCTCTACTAACTGAGCCGCGATGCAGAGCACGAGACCGAAAACCCGCTGTTCTCCACATACTTTTATTGATACTTGTGTAAGATGATTAAATTCATAAATATATGGCAAACAAGTCAAATACTGCGGTAGATGATATATCTGTCAACATAAATTTATGTCTAATAAGATTCAAAAGATCAAAGCAGTTAAAAAATAAAACCATACACTAGTCAGTCTTACGTTGATAACATTTTCGATCTTCCGCCTACAGTTGCGTAAAAACATTTAAATTAGAAACAAATGTGGAAAGACCATTAAGGGGATCTATGAAATTGTCGAACGAATTAATCATCATGCACGATATTCTTACTGATTACTGATTACCTTAAAACTAGATTACCAGAAATGAAGTACATTGGAAAATAAGAATATTAATGTCTGCTAATTTCGAAAAGGTAAGATGGTAGCTAGAATTCATCACACTTCAAGGAAAGAGTTCTAGAACAAATGAATTTGAATCCTCAAATGGAAAGGATTTCCTTCTGTTTTTAATTACTCATCCGCTTTTAACTTAGGAGGAGGAAAAAAATGATCCAAGGAACAGTTAATTGAATAATAAATTGCGAAGTATCACTTACAACTTTAAAATTATTTACATCACTATCACTATGCCTACTTATCCGTAAACCGAAAGTAACTTGTCGAAAAAAAGTGAAAAGGAAATAATACAAGTGACTTGAACAGTAAGTTCATTTGAGACCTCTATAAAGACCATCTGGATACTGAATAACCCCGAAAAGGTTACTGAAGAAGCAATCTATTATAGATATATTTGCAATGATTATTTACACACAATGATGTTCTTCAATTCTGGTGTGTAAGTATTCACTGCAAATATACTCATAATAAATTGTTTCTCCCCACAATGCACATGTTTTTCATAGATGGAACTAGTGATGAGGCAGTCTGCTATTTCTGGCATCGGTAAAAATTTATGAAACAAGGGTATGTATTCTAGGTAACGTTTGAAATTGTGTAGACCGCAGAGGGTACATATGCCTTATGGCTGAAACCATAATTTAAAAACAACGCAAGTGTTGTAAATTAATGTAAAACAAAATATTAGGAAAACTGAGAAAAATATCGTCTGTCTCACCTTTCCGAACGCTAATAAAAGTTGATTCTGTGGCAACTATTGGAGTTCCATTCACATACTGAGTTGCAATACATTTGTATTCACCCTCATCGCTTTTCTGGATGTTTCTAATGAGAAAATATGCATCTGTAGCTATTAGCTCTCTGTTATTAACCTCCCACTGATAATGTATATATTCTGTTTCCGAGCCACCCGTAGCATTACAATAGAATGCGACATTCTGTCCCTCATAAATTACTTGAATACGCTGTGAATAACATTGAAGCAAAAGAAAATGAAGAGAATAAATTTGTTAGCTGAAACTCTGAACATCTGCCAGACGACTATGTGGTTGAATGAATGCGTAGGCACTACACTGAACCAAATGATAACACGAATCTGATGCAGGTTTAGAAACAAATCGTATGTATATGTATATATATGTATAAACGATGCGTTACAAATACTCTCGAATATTAAGGTCAACATTAAAATTTGTTTAAATGCACTGAAAACAATTTTTAGGCCAGTGTGACTTTTCAAAAGTGTAAACTTACCTAGGACTTTCTGGTAGGTGACTATTTTGGGAGCTTGCCATGTCAAGTGAGCATAAAGCATTTCATCTAAATAATTCTTCTACGGTTTGTTGTGGAATATCGGTGTTCGTCATCTGAAAGTGTTTACCTAAATTTATTTGAAGCGAATCTTTGAGACGATCATCCGATACAGAATCAGAAATTTTCAGACGGACAATAAGTCATTTAATTATTATACTTTCATAAATAAATTCTTGTAAGCTATGCGACCGTGGTCATCTGAAGTCATTTTGGGATCGAATGGTTGAACTTCAAACTTCGTGTTGTAGAATTAGTGAACGGCGGTTCTTTGGGTTCTACGTCTGTCTTATTGGAATACGTTCTGAGTTTGGAATGGTCGCAGTTATCTTCCCGGTTCTGAAAAACCTGAAAGGCTAGAGATACGATTGATTAATTAATCTGGTCCCAAGTTAGTATTACTGCAACTGATCTGGGGAAAGCTTCTCGAGTATAGCCCATCGGTACCGCAGGACTCGAGGTGTGCATCTAGCCTCCTTTTAAAGGTATCAGGGGATGGGGCTGTAACAACTGCTGAAGGGAGGGAATTCCACAGTTTACAGACTGTAACTGCAAATGAGTTAGCACGGATCTTTGTACGTGCCCTCTCGTGCTCTATCTTAACGGGTGACCCCTCGGGTGGCGTTTCCCACCAAAGCTTAGAAGGAATCTGTTAGGATGGAAGGGATTATGGGCGATGCGGTACATCATGAGCATATCCCTTCTGATCCTTTGGTATTGTACTGGGTGCAGCTGGGTCGGTACGGTTTGTGCCGTAACCCAATCGCTTTCTTTGTAGCTCTTCTCTGTACTCGTTCTAGGATGTCTATGTCCTTTTTCAAGTATGGGGACAACACAGGCGAATTTTCTTCTAGATGAGGGTGGATTTAAAGAGCATACACTGGTGAAAAAAGAAGGAGTTAGATACCCTAAAGTTCGCGAGAGAAACTCCAGGATTCCATAAGCCCTATTGGTGCAAGGTGACAGTGGACTGAGGCTCCTAGCATATCGTTTAGTGTGACTCCTAGATCTTGTCCCATGTTGGAGTGACAGATATTTATTTCACCCAGAGAGTAAGAACTGGGACTGCCTCTATGTTTGTCAACTATCATGATTCGACACTTCTCCGAGTTGAGAGGAAGCAGGTTTTTTGTAGTCCAATTAAGGATTTTGGTAAGATCCTCCTGGAAGACCGCAATATCCGTTGGCTCCTGTATTTCACTCCAAATCTTCAGATCATCGGCATATAGTTATCATATTATTATTATTGTTATTTGTCCCTTGGGTTCCTAATGCAACATGAGGCTTCAGTAGCGCGTCTCCAGTGCTCTCTGTTCTCTGAAATTTTTTGAAACTGGTTCCACGACAGCCCAGAAGCTCTCATTTCTTCCTCACACGATCTCCTCCGTGTCACCCTCGCCTCCGACGCCCAACTCGTCGCTTACCATCTGGATGCCACTCGACGACTTGGCCTGCTGCGTGATGTCCCCAGTCCGCCTTCTCAGCGTACGCCCAATCCATCTCCACTTCCTTCCAGTACATATTTGTTGAGCGATAGCTTCTTGCTTTGTTGGTTAGTTGCCCGACCAGAGTTCCTTGTTGGTGATTCTTCCTGGCCATCTGATCTTCAGTAACGAGCCAGCGTAGGCAGTTGTTGATGAATATCTGTAGTTTGTTGGAAATGCATTTCGTAATGCGCCAAGTCTCTGGGCCATACACAAGAACTGACTTGACGTTGACGTTGAAAATCCGGATGTTGTTCACGCCTTATGCTGAGTGAAGAAGATCTCCACACTGGTTTCAGGCTAATGAACACCTGTCCTGCTTTTCCGATCCTGGATGGCTTTGACGTCCTTGTCTGTGCCTGTGCCGCCTGTAGTTGAAACGATGCTGCTTAGATAAGTGGAAGAAGCAACTTCTTCAGGTATCTCCCGTTGTTGATGATTGGAGCTTGTCGTTGTTATTGTTGTTGTAGGTGTTGGTTAAGTATTTTCATCACCTCTGTCTTCTCTATACTCACTTGAAGTCCCGTCTTCGCTGCCCTGCCTCGCCTCTTCTGTCAACTTGTTAGTTTTCGCCTGTAGATCTTCGAGTTTGTGCAACATTAGACATAAGTCATCTGCGAAATCTAAATCTTCAAGGAATTCTTCCGCGGTCCGACCTGTTCGGGTCATAATTTTGAATTCCTTCCCCCTTTTCATCTCTCCAGAATGATGCGGCTTAATATTTTGTTTGGGGTTTGTGGGGATAGGAGCGTGATTCCGCATCAGTTCTTGCAAAGACTTAGGTCGCCTTCTTCGGGAGTTTAACAAGGTAACCTTTCTTCCAATCTGCAGGTACCTTCCCTTCCTTCCAGACCTTCTGCAATAGTAGTGTGAGCATAAAGGCTGTTGTCTCTACGTCTGCTCTCAGTGCTTCTGGCGGGATTCCATCTGTTCCTGCTGCTTTCCAGCATTTCAGTAGCTTTATGGCGCTTTTGTTGGAGGACTTGTGTTTACTGGTAATTCTATTGTTTCTGGTGGTATTTCTGGACGAGTTGCAGGTACTGGTCTATTCAAGAGCTTTTTAAAGTGGTCGGCCCATCGTTTCCTCTGCTTTTCCTCTTTGGTAGCTAGGTTTCCCTCACTATCTCTCACTGGCTTCATCTGAGTTGATCTCTTTCCAGATAGTAACCTGGTTATTTGATATAAGATTGTCAGATCTCTTCTACCAGCAGCCAGTTCTGCTTCACTTGCCAGTGTATCATAGAAGTGTCTTTTGTCTTTGCATGCACTCTTCTTCACTTCTTTATCCAGCGTTTTATACGTTGTACTCAGTTATTTTCGTTGTTCATCCTTCCACTGGTTCATCTTCTGATTCATTACCCTCCTCTCCTCTATCAGCTTCCATGTGTCCGTCGAGATCCATTCCTTATCGTCTTCCTTCTTTCTTCTTGATACGGCTATGCAGGTTTGTTTCCACATAGCTTTCAAAGAGTTCCAGTACTCATCCACACAGGTTTCTTCAGTGATGTTGCTCGATATCTCCCACTTTGTGTTGATGGCTGACGTGAAGTTTTTCTTTGTAGTTTCGTCCTTCAGTTTCCGAGTGTTGAACTTGAACTATGGTCTATCACCAGCTTCCTTGAAGGCTTTCAATTTGATTTTGAAGGTTCCTCGCACTAGATAGTGGTCTGAGCCTACCTCTGCTCCTCTTCACGACACGATCTTGTGTTAAGTAGGCTGCGTCTCCACTTTCTTGAAATTTGAATGAAGTCGATCTGATTTTCAGTGTGTCCTGGTGTCTGATGAAATCCATGTCGCTTTGAGGATATCCTTGTGTTTGAACACACTGCCTCCAACCACCAAATCGTTAAATGCATAGAATTCTGCAAACAATTTCCATTCTAGTTCATTTCACTGATCGCTTCTCGACCCATGGTTAGTTCTCTTCCTGTGTTGTCCCCTCCCACTTTGGTATTCATGTCGCCCATTAGAATTTTGATGTCGCCAACTGAGGTCTTGTCCAGCGTTGATTGCAGTTATCTTTAGAGTTCCTCCTTCTTCTCTTCATCTGCATTATTTGTAGGTGCGTAGCATTGTATGATTGTGACTTTCCGTCTCGGCATATAATAGTGAGTGTGAATTAAGGACCCCTGGTAGGTCATTGATAGAAGCAAGAAACAGTAGTGGGCCCAGTACAGAACCTTGAGGCCCACCACTCAGCATCGGGAACCAATTAGATAGAGAGGAACCAACTCTAACTGACTGCACCCTGGTGTACAGATAATCTTGTAGCCAAATTAGCAATTTTCCGTGTATACCCATGAGCTGGAGTTTCTTACAAAGGATATCATGATTTACCTTGTCAAAGGCCTTAGAAAAGTCAAGTAAACCAATGTGAATAGGCTTTTTTCGCTTGACAGAGAGTGTCCAGCTATTCCAAGCTATCAACAAATTGGTGTCACATGACCTTCCTGGTAGAAAGCCATGCTGACAGTCGTTTAGGATTGATTTCTGAAGTAAGTGATCACGAAGTGAGTCATTTATGACTCTCTCCATGACCTTCGCAACTGAAGAGATCAGGGAGATCGGTCTGTAGTTGGAGGCGAGTAGTTTGTTTCCACCTTTATAAATTGGGACAACAGCCACCAGTTTCCAACCTGCCTTCCAAAAACGACCATTTGAAGAGGTTTGCTATTGGGGCGCACAGAACTTCAGCACAATTTTGAGTGCTCTTGGGTGAATCCCATCGATTCATGGAGACTTATTCGGGTTCAATTTCTTTAATATTTCCATAATAATAGAGGATTTAAACCCTATAGGGTTTAGCACCTCTGTAATACGGGTGTCCGATGGATGCGTGGTTTTGCCTCCCAAATGACAGAAGTTGTTTTGGAATTCATGAGTTAGTAGGTTTGCTACCTAGGAGTTAGAATGGAGAGTCTCCAAACTAATGGGGTCCTGTAAACTAAGTGAACTGTTACTCTTCTGTTTCACCAGCGAGTACAGTATCCCATGATTCCCCTCCAGGGTTCTACAAAGTTGTGTCTAGTGGTTTGTTCTGTCATTTCTGATCCTTATTGTACATCTGTTACGGATGTCTTTATAATTTAGCCAGTCAAAAGGGTTATTAGTGCACCTCCATAGATTCCAAGATGACCGTTTACGCCGTATTAGTTTGCACAGGCTTGACTTAAGCCAGGAAGAGTGAAACTTGTTGGTTCTTCATGGAATCAGAGAAGTGCTGTCTTTTATCGTCTGGAGGATTATATTCTAAAACAGACCCCATCTGGCATCGAGATCCAGTAGGTCACAGCAATTTAAGCAAGCGGAACCTTCTAGATTTTACCGGACCTTCTCAGAATCCGTTCTCCTGTAGTTCCTGACTAGTAGCTGATCAGGAACGGGTGGCTTAGATACAGAAATATTGAAGGAGATAACTGCATGGTCACTCAGGCCAAGAGGGCTGAAAACATTTAAGTTGCTTACCCTAATGAACTGATTTGTGAAAATATAATCTATTCGGGATGCCTTACCGTCAAGCCCCCAGCGAGTACACTGAGAAACATGTTCCGTCAAGGAGTTTTCTAGTAACAATTCCCGAAAGTCTTTTAGAGCAGTAGATGGACTTTCTGTGGTAAAGAGTTGAGGAAAGTTAAAATCTCCCATAATGAGGACCTATGGGAAGTTCAGTTCCAGGGCTCCTCTAGTGGACTGTATTAACATTTTATTTAACGTGGCATCAGCTGCA